TGTATGTATACAAATAAATTGGAAAATTCTCAAAGAACTTTTTCAAAAATTATTATAAATAATGGATTTAAAGAAGAATTTTAGTTAAAAAAATATTTTCAAAAAATTCAGTTTTAGAGAAGTTACAAATAAATTATTGCAGAAATTCAATTATTTTCCTAAATAATAAAATTTTTTTACAGGGATTTTAGTATTTTCATAAATATAATCTAATTCCTTTTAGGAACTCAATTATTTTTATAAATATTAAAACTTACCGCAGAATTTCAATCATTTTTAATACAATTTTTATTGAATTTTTCAAAATTGTAATTATTCTTTATATTAAAATTTGTCAAAAGAATTCAATTATTTAAAAATTTGTTGATAAAATTCCTTATGAGAATTGAATTTTAAGAAACATTTAATTATTCAATAAATTATTTAATTTTTGTATTTAAATAATTGATTTCTAGTAGAATTTTCTAATAAAAATTGATTTAAAAATGAATTGCAGTTAAAATTTCAGATAATAATTGAATTGAATATTAAAAGCAAATATAGATTGAATTTTAAGAAATAATTGAATTTTGAAATTAATTTTTTTGAAAATTGTCAAAGAACTTTTTCGAAAATTATTAAAAATAAATAAATAATTGATTGAAAGAAGAATTTTAGTTAAAAATTCTTCATGTTTTATAGTTATAAAAAAATTTAATTTATAGTTTTAAGTAAAATGATTTGTAATTTTACTCGGACTGGTTATATTTTGTCAGTAATAATTGGTCCGTAAATGGTCCGTAATTTTTCATTTTTGGTTCGTAAAATCCGTATTTTTAAATACTTTCACTGGTTCGAGCCCTGAATAAATTTTTTTTAGTGTATATGAATTTTTTAATACTCTCTAATAATAAATGTGAATCAATTAAAATTGTAACTAACTGACTTTTTTGCATTCTTATCAGTAAAAAACTCAAAATTTACTGGAAAAATATTTTTACTCTTAAATCAGTAAATTTTAACTGCTTTAAAAATCAAAAAGTCAGTCACTAACTCAAATTAATTAAAATTAGAACTTATTCAAGTTTAGAATAATATTTTTTTTTTTTGAGTTCATTTTGAATATATCTGGGTCACTGAAATTAATTTCGATGCTGTAACCTTTTTTTATTTTTTGTTGATCCATTTTTTTTTTAAAGAGTAGCATTACACGAGCGAAATGACCTTGATTTGTGTGTTAGCAAAAGTACCATTTGTTGAGGCCCATTATAAAACATCGCACCTTTTATTATTCAAAAAGCATATAAATTCATCGTCACGAATACGTTTAACCCGTATTGGTACTCATCGCCATTCAAGAAACAAAAGCCATGAGTGAGAGAGACGTTGTGCGACTATTCTTCACTTTTATGATACATAAACTTTCCTTCCAATCAATTTGAGATCACTCATTGAGGTCTTATCCTTGATGATAACTTTTGCAGGTTTTTCCTCAAGGAAATTCATTTAATTCTTTAGAAATACAAGTTTTACAGAAGGAAGGACAAAACTATTAATAGAGATTGTAGAAAAAAATAATTTCTATTCTAGGAATTAAAAAAATTTCTTCTTCATTTAAATTTTCATCTTACACACTGAGGAAAAAATTTATTTTTAATTCAAATAACCGATTACTTGACAATCTATTAAATATTTCCCTAATTCAGATAATTTTTATTTGAATCCAATTGTACTTTCTTCAAATACTGAAAACAAAATCATTGAAAATTATTTTTCAATTTCATTTAAGTGTTTTTTTCATCGAATATTTTTTCTAAAAAATGTTTGAAAAAATCTCTTCGAAAAATGTTCGAAGGGAAATATTTTTTACGTAAAATTATCTTCACCTTTTTTCTTCATTCATATGGGAAATTTGTATCGTGCGTCAGATATTTTCGTTTTGTTTGATTTATTTTTGATGTGTCAACTTCATTTGCATAGGTATTTTTCAATTATATAACTTCTTATATTAAATTTACTTTCTATAGTCGCCTTTTTGCAACGAATAGAAAGAGGGGCCCGGGTAAATATTATGTAAAATCTTCGGTCCTCCCAAACTCCTCGAAATTATTTCGACAATAGTGAGAAAACTGGGAAAAATTGACTAATGGAGAGAGAGAAAAAATTTTTGTTTAAAGAAAAAATAAAAAGAGGTACAAAAAATTGTTTGAAAGAAAATTAGAAAAATAAATAAGTAGTAGAAAATGAATAAAATTAATAATTTAAAAAGAAATTATTTATATACGTTAAAATTATTTACGTTAATAATTGTTTATGTTAATAAATACTTATGTTTAATGACAATAATTTTTTACGATAATAATTTTTTTTATTAATAATTACTTATGCTGTATCAGATATTTATGTTATTAATCATTTATGTTTATAAATATTTATAATAATAATTATTTAATAAATAAATATTTTTTATTTAATTATTTACGTAAATAATTATTATTAAATAATTTTTTATGTTCATTTTCCTTTTTTTTATTAACTATTTATTCTAATTACTAATTTAATTCAGATTTATTCATTAAGAAAATTTAAAACTTAAATAAAAAATCACTTTTCTTTACCAAAAGAAGATTTTCGAAAGTAGTTGCAAGAAAGTAAATATTGTATGAAAATTATTGAAGCTTTATCAATATATAGGTCTAGTAACTGAATTTATTGTCTGGAGTAAGTGGATGGTAATTAAAAGAGAGAAAAAATGTATTATTGTAAATTAGTAAAGTGTCTATAAAAAGAAATAAATTTTGTATTAATGTTCACAAGACTGTAGTTTTGTGTACTAAATAAAAGAAAATCTTCTTTTGTGTCAAAGATCAATTCTAGCACACAACATATGTTGTATCTTAAGGACATGCAGAGAAAGCACATAAAATCGATTGACTATCTCAGATAGACAGTTAGCAACTTTCATTGTATATCATGCTGTGACCGTGGAATAATTAGAAACTCTGCATTTCACATTGTTTACATATATACAATGCCCAAAAATTAATCCTCTCATTGTTTTCGCCAGCGCATTATCATAATTACCTTCCATTATCTTTATTCCTTTATTATTTATTTCTTTTCAAAATCTTTTTTTTTTTTAAAATGTATAACTTTTGTTTTCTCTACAGTACAAAATTTTTGTATTATCCATCTATTTATTTCTTTCTCTATTTATTTTTTTATTTAATTACTTATTCAATTGCTTCTTTTCAATACAATTTTAATAATATTTTTCAAAAGAATTCGATTATTTTTAGAAATTTTAATAAAATTTTTCGAAAGAGTTCAAATATTTTTCAAACTTTTGATAAAGTTCTTTATGGACATTCAATTTTTTTTTAAACATTTGTAATTAAATTCCTCAAAGGAACTTAATTACAATTTTCAAAAATTTTAATTAAAATTTTTTGAACCAATAACATTGAATTATTTTCATAAATATAGTAAAATTATTCGCTTGAATTATCTAAATTATTTTTATAAATAATAAAATTTTAAATTTCTGACAAAAATTTCTTTTTAAATAACTTTATTGAATAATTATAAAAAAAAATTATTTAGGTAATGAATAATTTTACTTAAATATTTCAAAATTAATTTAATTTTAAGAAAGTTGCGTTTACAATTTTCATAAATAAATGAACTTCAAACGATTTTGAATGAATTTAATTAGAGAAATTTTAATGAACTTAGATTTTTGAAAAATTTTAATAATTCAAAATTTTCTAAAATTAGTTAAATTTGTCAATATATATTTCATTAATTATTAAAAATAATGGATTTATAGAAGAATTTTAGTTAAAAACACTAAAAAAATAAATTTTGAAGTAGTTACAAATGATTCCAGAAATTCAATTATTTTCAAAAGTAATAAAATTCTTATCACAAAATTCAATTACTTATGTTTAAAAAATGTACAAAAAAAAACTTGACAAAATCGCAATTATTATCTTTATAAATAAAAAAATTCTTTTTCAAAATTCAATTATTTTCAAAACTTTTAATAAAATTCTTGAGAAAATTTCAATTATTTTCAAAAATTTTCCTCATTTCAATAATTTTTAATATTTCTACTATTCTTAAAAATTTGGTAATAAAATTCTTTATAAGAATTAAATTTAAGAAACAATGAATTATATAATTTACTTTTGTATTTAAATAATTGAATTCTCATAGAATTTTATAATAAAAATTGATTTAAAAATGAATTTTAGTTAAAATTTTAGATAATAAATTGATTATGAAAATAATTTTAAAGAAGTTTCAGTAACAATATTCTTACAATATAAAATAATTAATTTTTATCTCTCGATTATCTTTAATTATTATAAAACATAACTTCATGTTTTATAACAATATTTTTAAAGTTGTTAAATTTCAAAAAGGTATGAATTTGAAATTTTTCAAAAAATTTGCATAATTTTTATCGGTTAAACGTAATTTGTTAGAGAAAAAAGCATTATAATAAACAAAAAATTGACAATTGTTTCGTGAAAAATTCTGGGAAAATTCAAACAAAATAGGTATATTTTTCATTTGTTAATCATAATTTTTTTTAAATTCTTTAATTTCTAATATTATTTTATTATTAATCATGAAAAAATACCTGCATATTTTCGATTTGTCAAACAATATTTTTTAAAGGAAATAAAATAAAAGCATTCCCAAAAATTAACTTCAAACTGCAGACAGAATGAATGAAAGAATACAAAGATTAATATAGTATTTAATAGACAAAAATCACTATTAGTTCAAAATTTCGAGTTAAATTGCAAGAATCATTCGAAAAAATTACAGTCATGGTATAATTATTAAAGAAAATTCTCTCTCCTGGAATGATTGTCGATGAGGGAGAGAAAATTGATGGAAAAAAAGGGTCTTCTCTTAATTTAAAAAAAAAAATTATGCCCTCAAATATCGGAGAGCAGGTATAAAAAAAAATCGTTGAATTATATAAGACTTTGTCTGTCATCACTCACCTATCATTAGGAAGGGTGCGGCTAAATTGAGACCTATGAAATCCACCCCCAAGTAAATGCAGAATCCAAAGGCACCGGCGGTCGCTGCAATTGCCGAAAGATTTCCCAGGAAACCGAGCCACGGTTTGCTTCGAACCCAATCGGTCATCATGCAGGTGATTACGGAAAAAATGGCCATAAATAGAAAGGCACTGGTAAAATAAGGCACCACTGTTTTTGTATTCGCCTCCAATTCCAATTCCAATGATCTCGAGGCAAATCTCGCAACTCTTATGTGCTTGAACATGTTTCCATTTTCTGCATTGCCAACAACCTCTAGGAATTTTTCTTCCCATGTTGAACCACTAAATGCGTGTAGACGAGAGAAAAATGGATTGTAAATTTATTTTTTGAATTTATTTCGTGGGAAAAAATGGTAGAGTTACTTTTAGTAATTTTTTTTTTTTTTGAGTAAAACCGAAGAGACTGTCTAGAATTTTTACTATAAATATAAATATTGGGGTAAATTTGAATAGGAATTATTATTAAAATTTTGAAAGAAAATTTTAATATTTCCGCTTGAGTAAAAATATATTCTTTGGGAAATTTTTCTCAGGGCGGAGTAAATTTTATTATTTCTGAAGTAAATTTTAGTAAAATGTTAGGAAATTTTATTATAAACATTAGTGGGAATTAATAACTTAGGAAAAATTTTTACTTCCTTTACGCTCTTGCATTTTTCTAAACAGGGTTGTCACAGTTCAGGAAAATCAGGAAAAAGTCAAGAAAAGTAAAATTAATTAGGGAAATTAGGGAAAAGTTAGCGATTTTTATTAAAGTACTGGAAAAAATTTAATTTTGAAAAAGTTACAAATTCAATTATTTTCAAAAGTAATAAAATTCTTCTCAAAAATTTATGAAAATTGTCCTCAAAATTTCAATTATCTTTAAAGATAATAAAATTCTACTTCAAAATTCAATTATTTTCAAAAATTTTAATAAAATTCTTAGCAAAATTTCAATTATTTTCAAAAATGTTATTCAATTCAATGATTTTCATAAAATAATAGGTTGCAAAAATTCAATTATTTTCAAAAGTAATAAAATTCTTCTCAAAAATTCAATTATCTTAAAAAATTTATGAAAATTCTCTTCAAAATTTCAATTATCTTTAAAAATAATAAAATTCTTCTTCAAAATTCAATTATTTTCAAAAATTTTAATAAAATTCTAGGCAAAATTTCAATTATTTTCAAAAATGTTATTCAATTCAATGATTTTCATAAAATAATAGGTTGCAAAAATTCAATTATTTTCAAAAGTAATAAAATTCTTCTCAAAAATTCAATTATCTTAAAAAATTTATGAAAATTCTCTTCAAAATTTCAATTATCTTTAAAAATAATAAAATTCTTTTTCTAAATTCAATTATTTTCAAAAATTTTAATAAAATTCTTAGCAAAATTTCAATTATTTTCAAAAATGTTACTCAATTCAATGATGTTCATAAAATAATAATTGCAAAAATTCAATTATTTTCAAAGTAATAAAATTCTTCGCAGAAATTCAATTATGTTAAAAAATGTTTTTAAAAAATCTCGTCAAAATTTCAATTATCTTTAAAAATAATAAAATTCTTTTTCAAAATTTAATTATTTTCAAAAATTGTAATAAAAGTCTTGGCAAAATTTCAATAATTTTCAAAAATGTTACTCATTCCAATGAATAATTACAAAAATTAAAAAAAAATTCTTGTCAAAATTTCAATTATCTTTAAAAATAATTAAATTCTTCTCCAAAATGCAATTATTTTAGAAAATTTTCTAATTATTTTCAAAAATTGTTCTCAATTTAATGATTATTATAAAATAATAATTGCAAAAATTCAATTATTTTTCAAGTAATAAAATTCTTCGCAGAAATTCAATTATGTTCAAAATTTACAAGAAAATCTCGACAAAAACCCAATTATTATCTTTATAAATAAAAAAATTATTTTCCAAAATTCAGTTATATTTTTAAAAATTTTAATAAAATTCTTGGCAAGATTTCAATTAATTTCAAAAATTTTTTAATACAATTTTAATGAAATTCTTTATGATAATTCAATTTTGAGAAACATTCATTTATTCAATTATTTATTTTCCTATTAAAATAATTGAATTTTTGTAGAATTTTCTAATAAAAATTGATTACAAAAAGAATTTCAGTTTAAATTTTAGATAATAATTGAATATTAAAAGCATTGTAGCATGAATTTTTAAAAATAATTAATACATAATTGAATTCTTTCGAAAAATTTTAATAAAATTCTTGTAAATAATTACATTTTTTGAAGACTTTACTTAAAATTGTATTAAAAATAATTGAAATCCTGTGAAGAATTTTATTATTTATGCAAATAATTGAATTCTTGCAACGAATTTTTTTATAATTTTTTTTAAATAACTGAAATCCTGTAAAGAATTTTATTATTTATGAAAATAATTGAATTCCTGCAACGAATTTTATTACATTTTTTTTAAATAATTGAATTCTTTTCAGAACTTTTATTAAAATTGTAGATTTTTAAAATATTTGAATTTCAACGAAGAATTTCATTATTTGTGAAATCTAATTGAATTCTTACAAAATATTTTTAAAAATTATTCCATTTTTCGAGGAATTTATTTTAAATTTTGTATTAAAAATAATTAAAATCCTCTGAAAAATTTTATAATTTATGAAAATAATGGAAATCCTACAACGAATTTTTTTTTTTACATTTTTTTAAATAATTGAATTCGTGTGAAAAATTTTATTACTTGTAAAAATAATTCAATTCCTGCAACAAATTTTATTACATTTTATTTAAATAATTAAATTCTTTATAGAACTTTTATTAAAATAGTAGATTTTGAAAATTTTTGAATTTCAGCGAAGAATTTCATTATTTTGTCAAATGTAATTGAATTCTTGAGAAAAATTTTTGAAAATAATTTTATTTTTCGAGGAATTTGTTTAAAATTGTATTAAAAAATAATTGAAATCCTGTAAAGAATTTTAATAATTATTGAATTATGTATTAATTTTAATAATAATTAAATTCTCACAACGAATTTTATTATAATTTTAGTAAATAAATAAATTTTTTTTTAAAACATTTTATGGAGTTTTTTTGAGTTTCTAATCATATTTAGAGTGAATCAGAATATTCTTCAGGGTCAGGGAAAATGTCGAAATTTTGTCTGGAAATCAGGGAAAAACAAAATTAATTTTTTGTGGCAACCGTGCTAAACTTTACTTCCTTATCATGAAAATTAATAACAACCCAGTAAAAGAAAGTCTTATTTGCGTAAATTTTTATAAGAAAAAATAGAAATTATAATTTTAAATGCAACATTTTGTGTTTAAATCAATTTTTTGCTGAATTTATTTTACGCAACGGATTTGACAAAAGAGCAGAGTTTGAATATACATATATACATATAATAGATTAGCGACGCTAAATTTCAGACTCATCTTAAAGTGAAAATCCCATTTTTTTTCTCTTATATTTTCTTCTCGGTGATTATTTTATTTGGAGAAGAAAAATAATAATACTCACATTGCGTCCTGTCGTTTACTACCGGCAATGAGGAAGTACGCCAATTGCAACGACGGTACTGACGTAATTGTCAAATCTTTCGTTATAACACTTCCTCCAAAATAAATTGGAAAAAGATGCGCGTCCCATGTAACCGGATTAAACATCAACGGAAATGTTAAATTCAATTCATGACTCTCTACTTGTCTGGAAAAAAATAAAATTTCCACACTTATTTCCGCAATTCGCCGGAATTTAAACATTCAAAATTTTATGACATATAATTAAATTATACACAAAAAATTAAAAAATATAAAATTTAAAAACTTAAAATTGTAACTATTTAGTTAATTAACTATTAGTTGGAAGACAACTCACGGGATTATGTGACGGAGATTCAAAATATCATTTTCAACGCATTTATTTTGCCATCGAGCACAAACTTTATCGAAAGTGTAATTTTCATCCTCAAATGTTATAGTTGCATTTCGAATAATTTGGTCAAGTAACTGTAATTCATCCCAAACTGCAGTTCGCAATAAATTTGGATCCCCATCTTTCGGCGTCACTATCACGTGACCAAATCGGCCTAAATTCAAAGTGAGAAAAGAAACATTTAACTTCAAGTCGTTTTTTATACACTTGACAAAAATAATTTTGTCACTGATCCAAAAAAAAAAGAAAACAAAAACTTTACACTCAATTAGTAAATAAATTTTCCTAAAGTTTCTGTTCTTGGCAATTTTTCAATTTCAGAATATTTCTTGTTCCATTGTAATTTTATTTCAAAAATTCGTTTTAAATTTTGTTTTTTAAAAACTATATACTTAATTGTATCTTTTTTAATTTTACTCAATCAGTAAATAAAGCAATTAATTAAAATGGCAAATAAGAAAAATAAACCGTGAATAAATGGAGAAAAATTTATAAAAGAGACGAAATTAGTGTAAAGTAAATAAAAATGAATTAAAATTTTTACCTGCTCGCGTAATGCGACCGAGATTAAAATTATGAGTATAATTGACATTGAAATATTGTTCAACAACAGCGCGTTCAATTTTTCCGGGACCATTTATTGGGGTAAAAAGATATTCGGGATCGATTTCGTATTCAATTCTTTGGTATCCTGTGAAACAAATGCAGGCGAGGAGAAGGGGAATTATTATAAAATATCCTGGATGTTCACCAACAATATAGCCAAGTTTGTAGAAAGATCGATTTAAAAAGTTGTCCATAAATTTTTTCGAGCACCCCATCTGAAACAGAAAAATTAAACCATGTTTACTTGCGAGTATAAACAATTATTCATTAAACTATTAATTATTTAATTACAGGGTTGCCACTCAACCTGGAAACCTGGAAAACCTGGAAATGTCAGGGAATTTTATAAACCTTGAAAAAACCTGGAAAATTCAGGGAATCCTGGAAAATTGTTATTTTCTAAAGTTTATTCTTGAAATCTAATTTTACATAAATATTTCAAAATTAATTAAATTTTCGAAAAAAGTTGCGTTTACAATTTTCATAAGTACTGATGAATTTCAAAAGATTTTAATTTGAAATTTTGTAAAATTTCAATTTTGAATGAATTTGACTAGAAATCGTTTTAAAGAACGTAAATTTTTGAGAAATTTTAATTATTCCAATTCTTCTGAAATTAGTTAAATTTTTTAATATATATTTTTAATTGAATATTAAAAATAATGGATTTATAGAAGAATTTTAATTCAACACTAAAAGAAATTGAACTTTGAAGCAATTACAAATGATTGCATAAATTCAATTATTTTCCAAATTAGTAAAATTCTTCTTAAAAATTTAATTATTTACAACAATTTTAATAAATTTCTAGATAAAATTTCAATTACTTTCAAAAATGTTACTCAATTCAATGATTTTCATAAAATAATAATTCCAAATATTCAATTATTTTCAAATTAATAAAATTCTTCACAGAAATTCAATTATGTTTAAAAATTTTAAAAAAAATCTCGTCAAAATTTCAATTATCTTTAAAAATAATAAAATTCTTCTTCAAAATTCAATTATTTTCAAAAATTTTAATAAAATTCTTGGCAAAATTTCAATAATTTTCAAAAATGTTACTCAATCCAATGATTTTTATAAAATAATAATTACAAAAATTCAATTATTTTTAAAGTAATAAAATTCTTCGCAGAAATTCAATTATGTTCAAAAGTTAAAAAAAATTCTCGTCAAAATTTCAATAATCTTTATAAACTTTTCTCCGAAATTCAAATTAAAATCTTTTAGAAAATTTGAACTTTTCATACTTTTAATTAACAATTCTGTAGAATTAATTTTTTATCGAAAAAGTTTAATGGAATTTTTCTTTAATTCTTAAAGTTTTTATTTTCTAATATATATTTAATTGAAGAATGTCAGAATAATCAAAATTACGTAAAAATTAATATTGAAAATAATTGAATAATTACGAAGAATTTAATCATTTTTGAAAATAATTAAATTCTTTTGAATAATTTTTTAAAGATTTTTAAATAATCGTGTTCTTTAAAAATTGCAATTAAAAATTTATTTATTAAATTTTATTAGAATTTTTTTAAAATAATTCAATTCTTCCCAGCATTTTATTAAAATTTTTGAAAGTGTTTGAATTCTTTGGAGAAATTGTATAAAAATTCTGCTAAAAATAAATTGAATTCTCGCGCAGAATTTTATTCAATTTTAAAAAAATAAATAATAATTAATTAGGTAATAAGAGAATTTTTTTTAAATTTTGAATCTTAAATTATTCAAAGATTGAAATTGATATTTAAAATAGCGCGTAATATATTTTCTAGTAAATAAATAATAAAATAAATAAATAAAACTATTACCTAATTATTTAATTTTTAATAAACTATAAATTAATTAGTAATTAAACCATTAATTTTTGATTTATTAAACTTTATTTATTATTAATAAACTTTATTAATCTCTAATTTTTGTCAAATTTTTCCCACTTTCTTGCTTACAATAATTATTTTAATTTTTCCAACATAATTTTGTTATTTGTTGCTAAAAATATTTTACTTGTGTCATTGAAGTATTGATAAATTTATATCTCTACGGGTCATTAAGTTCATTAAATGAAAATGCAAAATTGCATCTGTAATGAATTAAAAATCTAAAAGTGCAGTTATATGAGAACAAAAGTTTTATATTATTAACTGTCAATAATTATACGCGTTTTTACACATTTTCAAGTATAATTAGAATATCATTTATTTATTTAACAATGATTTTATGTTTTATTTGATGTTTTCATTATTCGATATTGTAAACAAAATTACATTTTAGTCAACTGATAGTACATATAAATTTATTATCAACCTATTTAATATTTATTTTTTTTTATCACTTTTCGTTTCTTGTTTTTGGTTTTACTCTAATTTATTGCCTTGAATGAAATTTTTCTTTATTGTTTATTTATTATTTTTGATATTTTTATTTTCTCTTTCGAAATCGTTAGTTTATTAAATTATTTTACTAGCTGTTAATTTTTATTATTTATAAATTATAATATTATTTTATATAATTAATATTATTAATATTTTATATTATTTTATTTTACAATTTACAATTTTATATTTATCCTATTTCTATTACTTTATATATTTATTTTATTTCTATTATTTTGGTAATTTATTTTATTCATTCAATAAGTAGTTTTTTGTAAATTCTAATGTTTTTTGTGATTGTAGTTTCCTTTTGTTTATTATTTTTGTTTGTTTGCTTATTTTTCTGAACAAAAGGGTAAAATATTTATTATTTAAAAATATCTGTAAATCTAAATACAATCCGTAAATGCAAAAACAAATTTCGAGAGGCATTGAAATTTAAAAATAAATTCATTTTATAATGTGAACTATTAAAAGTCCTTAATTATTAATCAGTTTGCTGATTCAACTTTTCCTTGGACGTTGAATTACTTTGACCATATAAACGAATAAATAATATTGTAACCTCGAGAATTTTAGGTTTACAATTAGTTTAACTAATTATCATAAATAATAGTGACACTAAAACATATTTACAATAAACGAAATAATAATTTATTAACTCTTTTAATCATTAATATTACTAATTAATATCTAATAATTAATTATCTTTTTTTATTAATTATCTAATTAGTTGCTAATTATTATTAATAATAAATATTAATATTAATTAGTAATACTAATACTACTAATTAATATCAAAATTATCAATATTAGTTATTGGTAAATATTAATTTTGAATTATTATAATATTAATATTTATAAATTAATAATCAGTACAAAACTTACAGTAAATTCGCAAATAAAAATTCATTACTCTACCAATGACGACACAATTATAATAATACGAAGAAAAGTATTGTCTATTTTTTATTAGTGCATTGTAGCTTTCGCAGAATTAAAATTTTATTAATCAATAAAATCTTCAATGCTAAATATTAATAATAATTGTATAAAAAAAAGAGAATAAAATATCTGAAAGAATTTTTGACAAAAACAGTTTCTCTTTAATCGTGCACTAAATTTGCGATTATTCTTTTCGCAGTCTAACTGTAATTGAAAATATTGAATGTTTATATTATCCAATTATAGGATAATTAAATGAAGTTTACAGTGTATACGATGATAATTGATTCAGTTTAATTTAGCTCGAGAAGATGTTTACCGCAGGTCTCACTTCGTAAAATGCATAAAATATTTCTTTTGAGAAAGAAAGGAATTTTCTGAACATTTTTAATGCCGCTCGCGCAAAACTAAGCAATTAGCCTCAATCAGTTGAAATAAAGTTGCAATTAAAAGTGTTTTTAAGTCGAGAAAACAGAAGGTTCAGAAAATTCTTATCAGTCATCATCTCGTGAATTTCATTATTTGTTAATTTAATTTTTACTTTTTACATTGATTTTAACGTACAAGACACGTGGCTGTGGAAAAATTTCTTTTTTTAGTTCTAGTTTCTTCTAATTTTCTTGGGTAGGAAAATTCAGAACATTCTTTTCTTTTTATTCTTTTATTTCTTTTTCCTCTTCTTCTAGTTCTTCTTTTTTTTCCTCCACTTCTTCTCCTTCTTCTACTTATTTTCCTTCTTCTTCTTTTCTACTTCTTTTCGTATATTTTTCGTCCTTTTACTTTTTCTTTCTGTATAACTTCTATTTTTTCCTTTTTCCTCTTTCTTAATTTCCTTTTATTTTTATTTCTCAATTTTTATTTTTCTTTCTCTTTATAACTTTATATTATTTTCTTATTTTTTCTTACGCTTTTTTAGTTTCTTTCTATATTTATTTATCTTCTTCCTTAATTTTTTTTATTCTTCCTACTTGTTTTCTTTGTTCATTCTTTAATATTTTTTTTAATTTTCCTACTTTTTCCCCCTTTTACTTTAACTTCTCTTAATTCTTCTTTCTAAAGAAAGAAGAAGAATAGAATTAGAACAAGAGACGATAAACAATAAATTGTTTTCTTTTTCCTATCGTCTTTTGTTCTAATTCTTCTTCTTTTTTAACTTCTTTCTATTTTTATTTCTCTTTTTCTTTTGCTTTAATTTATTTTTATTTCTCTTTTCTTTTGCTTTGATTTATTTTAATTTTTCTTTCTCTTATTTTTTAACTTTTTAACTTTCTTTCTTTATCGTCTTTTGTTCTAATTCTTCTTCTTTTTTAACTTCCTTCTATGTTTATTTCTCTTTTTCTTTTGCTTTAATTTATTTTAATTTTTCTTTCTCTTATTTTTTAACTTTCTTTCTTTATCGTCTTTTGTTCTAATTCTTCTTCTTTTTTAACTTCTTTCTATTTTTATTTCTCTTTTTCTTTTGCTTTAATTTATTTTAATTTTTCTTTCTCTTATTTTTTAACTTCTTTCTACTTTTATTTTTTTTCTTCTTTTTTTCATTTTATTCATGTTTCTTTTTCTTCCTTTCTTTTAACTTCATTTTTATTTCCCCCTTCTTCGTCTTTTTTAACTTCTTCCCTTTTTCTTAAATTTCCTTTTATTTTTTTCCTCTTTTTCTTAAACTTTTTTTTTAGTTTCTTCATTCTCTTCTTTTTTCAAGTTTTTTCTCTTTTTCTGTCCCACTTTCTTTAACTTCTTTTTATTTTTCTTCTTATTCGTTTTCATTTTCTTTTTGTTTTTCTTTATCTTTTGCTTCATTATATTGAATTTAATTTTACTTTTCATTAATTTTTTATTTTTATTTTTCTTCTTATTCGTTTTCATTTTCTTTCTGTTTTTTTTTATTTTTC